ACCATCCTCTGGAGGTTGAGTCATGATTTTGGTGGTTTCCTCATGAAAAACTGGATGTTTTGCATGGTCTTGATATTGCACAATAGTTTTAAAATAAAGGAACGGAGAGGAGAAAAAAATCTAAATCATATTCTCTGTGAAAATTAAGCAGCTGACCAATGTTGCAATCCATCCTCTCTGTTTATGAGTGCATGTTTGGTGTGTGCTGAATAAAAATCTCCCAGTGCAAATAGTTCCTTCTATTACTGTTGAGCAAGAACTCCTCTTTCATAACAAGAAGAATCTGGGAGCCTCTCATTTATGTTGAGCCTTTCTTCTTCCAGTCTGAGGATGCAGACTGGGGCAAAACTTCATACATGTGCTTAGAATAAAACAAATGACGCCTAAAAATTGTAGAATCATAGAATAGTTTGGGTTGGAAGGGACCTTTAAAGGTCATCTAGCCCAACCCCGCTGCAGGGGCATCTTCAACCAGATCAGGTTGCTCAGAGCCCCATCCAACCTGACCTTGAGTGTTCCCAGGGATGGGGCATCTACCACCTCTCTGAGCAACCTGTTCCAGTTAAAATGTCTTATGTCTAGCCTAAATCTCCCCTCTTTTAGTTTAAAACCATTGCCCCTTGTCCTATTGCAACAGGCTCTACTAAAATGCCTGTCCTCGTCTTTCTTATAAGCCCCCTTTGAGTACTGAAATGCCACAATAAGGTCTCCTTGGAGCCTCCTCTTCTCCAGGCTGAACACCCCAACTCTCGCAGCCTGTCCTCATGGGGGAGGTGCTCCAGCCCTCGGATCATTTTTGTGGCTCCAACAGGTCAATGTCTTTCCTGTACTGAGAACTCTAACTCTTACTAGGTTCAGAATAATGATGCTATAAAAAGCTGCCAAACTTAGATGAGCTGAAAGAAAAGCTTTATTTCTAAAGATACACAAAGGGAATGACATTAGCTGTGACTGATGAGGTGTGTCTGAAATGTTGACAGTTATCAGGCAAATGACATTTCATTCCTCTTGCCAGTGATGATGGAGCCCAGCTCAGCATTATAAACTACAGAAGCTGATCTACTTTTTCTTGGAAGTGTGGTTTCCTCCTTTTTAGGAGGAAAAATACGAAAAAAATGTTTTGGTTCTTTGAAAAGACACATTTTATATGGAGCAGCTATCTCTCAGTTCCTACCCTCAGAGCAAGTAATGGGAGGGATTAGTCCTAAGACAGTATTTTCCTTAATTTTTTCCTGTCCACCTGACTTGTAAGATCCTGGCTCCTTTTTTACACCGCAGAGATGAGCTTACAAAGAAGTTGTGATGCCTCTTGTCACTATGAATCTGGCAAACTCCTTCCAACAATAGGCAATTGCACAGTGCAGTTGTCCTTGCTCCTTGCTTTGGAACTTATACTGGAAGATCTGGACTTTGGGGCTGATCTCATGTCCAAAGACTAAAACTCCCATTAGCAGCAGCAGAGCAGAACTGGGTATGTGAATTGAGTATACAGAGAAAGGTAGGCATACTGCTCTTTAAATGGGACAGTATTTGTGTCTGGTAATTTTTTTTAAAATGAGACTGATCTGGTAAATCATATTTTGTGAAATTTAAAGTGAATGACATTTTCAATGAAATCAAATGAAACTTTAAAACGAAAAAGGGGGGGGGGAAAGAAGGAGAAAGATATACCAAATACGCATGGGGGAGGGGGAAATAATCCCATTTTGATTGTAAAAAGGATTATGTACTATGATGATTATTTGCGCACACAGAAATAAATGCCAAGGCTTAGGTTCTGTTTAGCTGTGTAGGGTGACAGAGCTAACCTATGAATAATGATCCAGCATATCAAACTAGGGGGTTCTCCTAACATCTATCATTGAGCCCTACCCAAGATATTTGGAAGCAGAACATCAAAAATGAATGTCATCTGACAGCAGCCAGATCACTACCAGAGTTAAAATAGCCCTGGACATGTAGTTCATGATGTGTGATATACAAGTGGTACATATCCATTTACTGTGGGTGTTGTAGTGGTGCGGGTGTTTGAACTAACAGCCATGCATCACATACTTCAGCACTCAGCTCTTGCATCACGGATAAAAGAATCTCCATTAGAAAGATATTTGACTTATGTTTATGAGCAATATTATGAGATATGTGGGATTTAGATACTCACTTTGTTAGCTGTTGTCTGACTATTACAGCAGGCATAACAAAAGCATATTATTCGGGTGAGGTTACTTACCCCTTTTCTCCTTTGGTGTAATCGTATGGTAGGTTGAGGTATGTATTACAGTTTGCAGTTGAAAACCATGCATTTGCATGTGTACATTATGCCATAATAATTGAAAAAGTTTCTTCTACAGACAAAAGCATGTTTTGCCTGAGTTTTGTAGAATCAAAAAATACAGCTTTTAAGTCTCTGATACTGCTCTTTCTACTGAGTTGCCTTAGCGGTAGCCGCTGTAAGTTAGTGAAGCCTCTCTCTTACACGGGGTTGCATCAGGAGGCCTCAGGGTGGCAGAAATAATAGAATATGATATATTGAAATGGAAAAGAAGACTACAACCTTATAGTCTGGAAAAATCATTTGATAACAAGAGACTGGCTTTATTTTTGTTATTATCTCAGACTCATTTTTTTTATCTAATCACATCTGATTCTTCTAGTTATTTGTCATCTTTCATCTATTCACTGTAATTTCAATGATATTTTATTGGTGTCCTGCATCTGATGTAATTTCACACATCTAGCTTCTCTTTGCCTTTTTGCATCTTTCTTTGTCAAGTGTCATCTAATCTAATTTGCTGGTTTTAAAAGCAAAAAAGTTGCCAGAAAGTTGTGCGATCCTTTCTCATTAGCAATATTTGATTTTTATGCATTTCAGCACTGCAGCCTGCCACCTTCTATTCCATTAAGTATGCAAGCAGATGCTTCCTTCAGAGGCAGCATAATCTGCTTTACATCCACAGACATAACCAGTCAGGGAAATTATTTTCTGATGTTCTGTTTTAGTAACCCCCTAATAAGTTACTGGGGGCAGGAAAAAAACATTTTTTAAAGTCTGCTATAAATAAGAGTGACAAAAAATTCATAGACATTCTATTGTAATGGAAAAATATTGTTACCTAAATATACAGAGAGTTGCTCATAATGGACTCTAAAGTCCTCTGTCCTTTATCTGTGCAGATACTTATGCATATTCCCTAAATGAAAGCAGCAACTTCGGTGGTAGCACACTGTAACTATAGAAACAAATAACATCCACCATGTTTAAATTAATAAAATGCTCTTTTTTTCTGAAATGCTGTGGAATGTTTCTTCCGTTTCAGAAATGAAATCTTGGCCAGGTTTCTGATTTCCTCCCCCTCCCTTCTACTTCTAATCTAAACAGTTGCTCAAATTCAGTGTCTCATATATTAAAATATTCAGCTAGCATAAAAGCTCAAGTAAATACTGAAGCGGTAGATTGCACGCTTGCAACAGGACCAGGCAGAACAGCCTGTATGTCGTGTGTTATTCCACTGTTGAAAGTCATTCTGTGTTGCAGATTTCAAAACTGTGTTTAAAAAAATCTTGCACCACCCCTGTACCCCAATTGTTCCAATTAAGCTCTTTCAATGTATATTTTACTGGCTGAAGCAGAATTGGTGTAATCTTTTCTAATCTTCTTCTGGTTTATTGCAATGTCCATCAAAACCAAAAAAAGCCTTTCCACCTACTTTAACTGAAGTTGGATCCAGTTGATAGCTCTGACAGGTTTTTGTGATGGTCACATGTAATGAGCTTTATGTCTTAATATCCTTGCCTTCAGAAAATGCTGTGCAGGAATTAGTGTGCCTTGAACTTCTACATGGATAATAAGTAAATAATCTATTTTGTTTTCTGTTGAGAAATTTTGGGAAATCAATGCAGTGCCTGTGTAGGGGGAAGATATATGTAAAGTACATGTAAAGTCCTGAATGTGTCTGAAAAGCCACCGCTTTATAAGAAAGCATAGGAAACGGAGAGTTATCAGAGGTCACAAGTCTGTGTATTTAGGTGAAGAAAATTACTGTCAGGTGTTATACAAAATGGAATTTTATTGCTGTGGAATTGAGCAGTGTTATTGCTCAGCTCCAATACGTAGATAGTGTTTTTCCACTTCGAAGTCCAGAACACACATTTCTTGATGGAAAAGAATGGACCATGATGATGTATTCTTGTCCTTGCCAAGGTCACAGAAATAAGAGATCTCTTTGGCAGAGCGGTGGTCAGTAGCACAGACCAGACCGACTTCACAGCCTACCTCGGTGCAGTGCAGGAACAGCCTCGAAACCACCTGGAGATGGAAGTGCCAGAGTGTAGCCCAGATCAGCTTTGAATGACATGGATAGTATGGCTGGGGAGAAACCTGGCCTGCAAGCATGTTTTGGAAAATGCTTACTCTGAAGTGTGAATGGGCACTGGACTCTATGCCTGACTGCTTTGATGTGCCCTAGCTGCCACGGTACCAATGCGGTATGGGCGATGTGAAGCATCTGAGATGGCACAAAGCTTTTCAAGAAAGGCTCTGATGTCACGGCAGGGATTTGTAGGCGGTCTGAATTCAAGGATGAAATACATTGGATTTTATGGAGCTGATTCGGAAGCACACCAGGCTTCAGTCTGTTCACAGCACCTACCATGGACTTAATTTAGATATGTTACTCCAACTTGGTCTCATCTGCCTCTGAATATCAAATTGTCTTGCTTTTTGCTGTTTAATTCAAGGCTGATTCAATAGTACTAAGCTTCACCATGGCTGCTACAGTTGTTGCAAAGCACCCAAGGTCAAGTTAGTCAGCCTTCACTAAGGTACCCGAAGGTTTGGCAACTTAGTCCGTTCTGAACACCTTTGTGTCTGTTCTGGATTTCAAAACCATGTGTTGAGCTTTTGTGATGGTGAAGTGATTTCTCTGCCATTCTTTCTATATTTTGTAAAGTTTCTATTTCATGTAAAGATTTTTCATTCTAAAATTTTCTGTTTTCTTTAGGGAACAGCAATATTACAGTCTGGATTCTTACCAGCTATACCAGGTAGGAGCCGTTTAGTTATTTGCTTTGTTAAAGAATAATGCTTAAGTCCCAAATTGTGATGAGAAAAACAGGTTTATGGAAGCAGAACTAAAGACTATATTGAGAGGTGTCTTGCTGTGGGTGGTTTTGCTGCTGCAATTCATGACTGACAACTATGAAATATATTATAGTCTGTAGTATCTTTGGTTGCAAAGATTAATATCTTTGGTTTTCCCTTCCTTTTGTAATCCAAAGAGGTGCAAAGTTGTCAGGTTCTATATGAAGTTGTTTAGTGTTTTTTCTACATACACAGTCAAAGGACATCAAGAAACCGTTCTTTTTAGGCTATATGAACACCAAGGGAAAAATTGTTCAGGGTGTATACCCAGTTTTCTAAATAACACAAAACCACGGGAATGCTTCCTTACCAGAGGCAACATGGAGATGCTTCTTTTTGTGTCAGTGGAAGAACTGACCGACCGACAAAATCAGTAAAGGGAGGAAGCTGAGTATCCAGTCTGGAAAGATTATTTAGGCAAAGGTAACGGCACTGACTCTCTTTGCATTGTGAATCTGCCTATCAGCAGAATCTGTTGGTCATGGAGTTCTCTGTCTGATGTAGCCAAACTGGTCTGGCACCTTTTGTATCATCATTTTACTTCAAAGATAACATTTGTTAAGTTTGGGTTTTCTGTACTGCGTCCATCTTGTTCCACAGAGAGATCTGTGCAAAGAAGTTGTTTAGCATCTTAAACATCTTTATATTCCTTAAACTGTTTACCTGATAATTCAGTAGATCCATTAAATTATCAGGTTGCCTGTTTCCAATAGACATAGAACAGCTTTATGTGCTTGGGTTTCTTTATTACTTTTAAAAACCTCGGCAAATACATAAAGAGGTATAGCTGATTGATACTTGTGTGAACAAATCCAGTAAAATACCTAGGATCAGGAGATGCATCTGGAGAAGGTCATAAGTAACTCTATGCCTTTGTCTGTCTGAGTAGGAGAAAATCCAGAAGCATTTAGCAGATCTTGTTCCTAGTTATTCCACTCGAGTCAGTGGAATTACTCTTGATTTATAGATGTGTAAGTAGAAGCACCAATTGGATCATTAACTCTAATTTTATCTTTCCTTCTGGTACTCAGGTTTCTAGTCCTCTAATCAACCCAAGGAACCCAGCTCACTTATGATTAAAGTGTGTGTAAATACTGGTGAACTTGGGTCTATAGCTGTGTGTGGTGGGCACAATATTATTTCTGCTTTAATTTCAGTGGCAAATTAATTGTGGATGCAAACAATATTGGACAAAAAATTAATCTCAGGCTGTTCATGCTGATGAAGGAGTGAGCTGTTTTGATAAAACCTATCATTAAGCAAATTGGAAATGTAGAAATACAGGACAGATTTTTAGATCAACAGAAAGGGAAGATACAAGACTGAAGAAATTTGAGTGGGTGGGTTTTCATGTCTGGTACACTGGGAAAATATTGTTTAAGGAAAGAACTGAATAATTGTTGGAGTAAGTATAAGTGCTTTAGGCAAATGCAGCATCTAAAGCCAGTGACTGAAGTTTTTAGCTGTCTTTGTGGGGTTTCATCTCTCAAATGCTCTCATATACCTGTAGAACCTTATTCTTCACTACACTGTTTTTCAGAATACAAAAGAAATCCATATTTTCTCTGTCTTGTGACATTTTTATTATCCTCAGATATTTCATTTTAAAGTATTGTCTTTCATACATGTGAATATTTCAAGTATAATTGAACTTGGCGTTGCAAAGCTTTCAAAATAGTACTGTAGCCTTTGCACGTTTTGATTCCACCATCTTTAATCCAAGCCATTAACTGCAGGTGCTGAGCAGCCATTCAAACTGCCCTGGTGGACTAAAGGAACACCATTAGAACCTTTCTGTGTTTCTCTAGCAGGATTTTTTTAATCCATTGTTGAGGATAACATTAAAGGCACACTAATTTGAGGTACCTACTTTCAAAACCTGTCGTGCGTGTGCATGGCAAGATACCTCTACTAGTGTGAATGATCGTACAATGACCCAATGCACAGTTATAATGTTTGCTAGTGTGCCAATCCACTTAGTCATAAACATATTTCTTTTTTATCACAGAAAAGATTGTATTGTATTTTCATTCAAATACTCTGTATGAATGCAAACCCACCTCTTCCAGTGCTACAGGTGCCCACGTGTTCTGTATAACGTATTTGCTCTTGAATGTCTCAGTTCTGTAGCAACAAATGGAGTTATTGTGTCAGGATCAACTGTTTAAATGTTTTTTTCAGTTTGTTGGTAGTGAATGCGGGTGATGACGTTCTCTTTCTACTGTTAGTTTTATAGGCTGAGCAATAGACTCAGCAACTTCAGAGAAGTGTTTCTAATTCTAAAGGCAAGCTGAAAAGTGTTCATACAAGTGGCAACAATTCTGAATTATATTACTAGATGGAAAAAACAAAGATGGGATGAATAATTTAATCCTGGTTTAAATAATTTGGTTGCCTTCGTAAAAAATAACTTTGTAAAGATTGATTAGAAAGAGAGACTGAATTAGATTGCTTGCATTTGTAGGAGGAAATTATTCCCATAAGTATTGCAGCTTTGCACTAGAGATGAAGGTAAGGGATTCTTTGGAGTTGAATGAGGTGGGTATGCCTGCTCTTAAGTACAGTAGACTGCATTTATGGTTATTATGGACCTTAAAATACCGTGGCAGGACAGAGATTCAAAAATATGATTCAGATTTCCTGATTTCTGAGATTGCTGGATTCTGGAGGCACCTAGGTTTAGTACATTTGGTCTAAGGAGTTCTCATGGGACCTATGCAGAGTTTCTCATGAATGCTTCAGAATTTTGTAGCATGATCGAGTGGATGCAATTTCAGAGACATGTTATGTAGGTCCTTCTCTCAGGACCTGCTTAAGTGTTTTGAATTAAGGGATCATGAATGAGATCAGCGTTGAGAGGTGGAACCAAAAGACAGCACATTTCACAGAATGGTGAGCTGAAAAGCTTGTTATTGTCTTGATTATCTTTCTGGTGCTATAAACCAAAGCACTGTAGGAAAAACAGGGCTGAAGGGATTGTCTAGTTCAAGCCTCTGCCCTGAAGTAAGGATGTACTTGTGTGTGTATGTCTGACAGGTGGTTGTTTAGCTTGTTCTGCAGTGAGAATCCTTAATCCACCTTAAATCACCTGAAGTCCTTTGCTATTCCTATATTTTGAATGTATTTCCTAACAGCTGCAGTGTTTCTCGCTGTGATTTAGGCCTGTTCATTGCAAAGGCATAGATAGGAACCTCCAGCCCTTCCTAATGTCTTCATGCTCTCCTCCAAAAGACTTGAATTTTCTCAGCTGAGTAGAACTCAGTCACAGCTCTCCCATTTTATCAATGATGTTTAAAAGATGAGGTGGTTTTGTGGGGGGAGAAAAAATGCCACTATTTCTGTCCTTGGTTGCCAGTCCCCTTACAAGTGAACTGAGCAGCCTGAATCCCAAGACTCCTGTTTGGAGAAGCTAAACTGAGGGCTGGAATGGGCTTGGGGAAGTCTTTAGGGTCCCTTTGCAGTCCCTGGAGAAGGCATTTCATACAGGCTTTATGCACCATATTTCAGAAACTTTTGTCCCTTCCCATTAGCTACAGGGAAGCTGATTGCCCAGGCATTTCCAGGAGCCAGACCCAACCTTGGGCATTTCAACACCCAAATTAAACATCTATAGTGGGAAGTCTGATCTCCCTGTTCTTCTGTGCTGCAGGCTCTGGCATTACAAAAATCAATCACTGAATGGGAAAATAAGTTAATAAATATCCTCCCGTGGAAGCAGCATACTTAAATATTGTTAAGTTTTGTGATTTTTAAATTATCTTTTATTTTTGTCTATGCAGTTCCATTTTTTCCATATTCCATAGGAGCAAATTCATCATCATTGCAACAGACACCCTTGCTATCTGACAGCCTCTTTGCTTGTAATACCAAACCTACACCATGCTTGATGGGAAATGTTCTGAGAGGATGAGTTAAGGAATAAACATAAAACAATTCTGTGGATTGGAATTCAGCTGAAATGTCAGCTGAATGCTGATTATGAACGTTGTCTCTCTATTAAATTGTTCTTGGGTAGATAGGCAGTCAAGGTAGGGAGATAAAAAGAAAGAACAAAATTAAGTATATAACAGGTGATGGGTGCTGAAAATTAACTCAGCTGCCTGACAGCTTAGCTTTTATGATGGAAAAATAGGCTTTCTTTCATGCATTTTTAATTTTTTTATTGTGAACCTATGCAGCCTGACGCTTCTATTCCAAGCTTAGGAGTAAGCTTTCAAGGAATTAATTGAGAGTGGTGAGAAAGAGGAATCTGGGCCGTACTGTGTTGGTTGTTGCTTAGGTTGAAGATAATTTATAATTCACAATTTTCTTTTCCAGGAAATGTGTTGTCAGCTTTTCAGATGTAGGAAGACAAAGTATGCTATGATAATTTTATTGAGCCAGTAAAGGACTGTGTGCTGAAGAGTATCCACCATAAATATGTCGTACCTCACAGGGCTAAACATGATAATAGAAGAGCATTATTATAATGAGAAACTGATTAATAAAACCCTGCCATAATATGACATACTCTTTCTTGATTGTGCTTTATTTTATAAGTGCTCTCAAAGTAATTCCGTATGGGAAGAAAAATAAGAACTGAGAAAAAGTAGTTTAAGTGATTAAAATACGTATTGCATTTACAAGCTAAACCTTGGCCTCGGTGACTCTCTGAATTACTAAGGGCCTGACAGGAGTGGAAAAAAAGTGACTGCGGTGAAATCATATGCTAGTGAATGATGCAAATGTTGCTGTTTCATCAGCGTTGGCTGGGTGGGTCCAGCAGGTTCCTGGTCCCTGTTTTGGGGGTGACAGAAGGTGGTAAACCCATGCCACAGTGACGCTCGAGTCCTGCCTTTTCGATATTCCTGATTTGTTTCCCCATGCTTCCTCTGACAACTGAAATCTGGGGAAATTACATATCTCAACCTTCTAGAACACAAAGGTGAGGAACCTTATTTCATAGAATCATAGAATTGTTTAGATTGGAAAAGACCTCTAAGATCATCAAGTCCAACCATTAAAGCATATTTGCAAGCATAGTGATTATTTCAGCTTTTTGTTTTTTTTCTATTAAGGAAACTCATTATGTGACATTCATTCTTGGCTTCAGATGCATCAAGATTTTTGGAGCAAATGTATGTAAAGCATCCTTGAAGATATATTTTTCAAAAAACAGACACTGAGTTTCCTGGTACAGGAAAATGGTAATGATTCTACCTTAACATTTTTGCATTTTCAAAGATGGGAGACTGGGCTGGAGTGGCCCTACAGCATGGGAAGATGCCAGAGGTAGTTACGTCCTCTGTGACTCTTTTGGACACACTAAGCAGGCATGTTTGGGGAGCAATAGTTGAACAGTCACTGTGCTTGAATGCATTTCTAATTTGAGTAATTTTACTACTTCTGAAGTTCCCTGTCAGGGAGAGAGGAGGCATTTCTGAATACGGTGAAATCTGTAGAGCAAGTAAGCATTTTTAAGCATCCCTTTCAGCTTTTACTTATTGCGGGTAATGCCATTTGTATAGCAGAAAATATATGAAATCACCCTGAAGGTTGAAGAGTAACAGACTTAGGGAAGTTTTATACAGCACCAGGAAGTCTTTTATTATATTTACATGAAAAAACCTCCTGGTGTACTTGCAGTATTTCTCCTGACAATCAGTAGCTCTAGGCTTTGAATGCTCTTTTAAGCAAGGTATCTATTTTCAAAGGAGGAGATGGCAATGTTGCTTGGCTGAGTGGATCAAAGTACTTCATAGTAAAGGTAGTTTTAATTCCATAAGAAGCAAGAATTTACAGAGTGTAGTGTTTTCTTCCTTGTCAGCAAATTTAATAGCCCAGACCTGCAGAGTTTGTGACCTACTCCATGAAGGCAAAGCAGAGGCTGGGCAGAAAGAAGTGATCACTTAGTAAATGCAGTGTAGCATTGCACGTGTCTGCTCACGGGCCATGTACCAACAGGATTTGAAGACGTAAATTCTCTGGGCCCAGTTTATAGCATGTATTCCAGCTTCCCTCTCATTTGTAAGCTGTGCTTGTTTTTAAAGAAATAAAGAAATGCCTAAGAAGTTAGAAAAATGTTTCAAATAGTGGTTGTCTTCATTGAGCTCCATCAGACATTTGAGTCTAATCATATGTAAGAATGCAAAATGTTCCACAGCATATTTTCATTTTGTCACATTTTGAATATCTTCTTCCTCTTGCACATTGAGGAAAGTAGAACAGAAATAACTCTCTTGATGAGCTACTCAGTTTGAACAAAGACTTGGGCGAGTCAGCCACACAGAACTGGATGGCAGGGGAAACTGAAAAAGTTATTCTTAACAGTCCCTTGTAAGACACAAAGACTGATGGAAGGGGTTTTCTGTCTCCTGCTGGATGCTTTATATGTTCAGAAACTTGTCTTGCTAACTTGCTTTTTCCATTCCTGCAAGTGTTATCCTGGGATTCATAAATGAGAAACAAACCCGTTTATATGGTAGCTGTGAAGAAGAAGGAAGAAAATATCTAGGTCGATCTCTTGCCATGTGTTTATACGACACAGTTCAAAGCTTAAAAAAAATTCCATGAGAGATTTCCTATGTAAATATTTGTTAGATGCCAGATCTGAAAATGAGGAAAATGCAACAGGTCAAATCCTGAAGCATTAACATAGTTCTTTTAAATGAGCTCCAAATGGGAAAACTTCAACTTGACCATAAATGATTGGAGTATTTTATTGGTTTAAATCTCCTTTCCCATCCTGTGTGCTTTTCACAAATCCTAAAAATGTTGTTTAAAAATCCATGTTTTCTCTGGAAAAAAAAATGCTGAATGACATTAAGTTTTTGAGGGAGAAACTCCCCTCCTCCCCGCCCCCCTCAGTTTTGTGACGAAGCTGCAGTTAGCGTAAAGCTGTAGTCTTGTTTCAAAGTAAGGTACGGCTTTCAGCCACATAAAGCGTGTTCCAATATTCTTAATATTGCAGAGACAGGATTCTCTGAGGCAAGAAAAAGGAAAATCAGTTAGAGTGCAAATAAAAGTAAATCAGCTAGTCCAGAGCTGTCATATTTTTGCATTTATTTTTATCAGCAGTCTTGTTAAAAACAAAATTTCAAATAAAGTTTTTACTGGTTAAGTCCTCACCAGAGTATGTAAAGGTTCTACAGTCTGATCTCATTTGTTAAAATACAAAATCAGTGTCTCAGTATGGTATGCTTGAAAATTGTTCTTGTAGCCTGGATTACTCTATATGTGCATTTGTGTACACAAAGACTACAAGGCTAAAGGGTTTAGTTCAGTTGTACACTTCTGAAATAGGTGTTTATTTTTTTTTTTTAATCCATTGTCCTCATTAAGTGAAATAACCTCTGGGTTTTATTTAGATTTATTTTATAAAGGTGTAGGGATTATTTTATAAGCTTGGAAATTAGAAAAAAAATGGATGAACGTGTACGTTATACAGGGGGAAAAAATAAGAAATTGCCATTTTCTATAGCTTCCTAGGTCATGCATATTTCTTAGATTTTGAGACTGCTATCTATTTTACAGAATTTCTTCATGTTGCATAAGAGTTACAGTAATTTTTGGACGCTATTTTAAAAATACTTTGCAGAGAAGTGTCTCACCTGCACAGAGACAATTGATCAGCTCAGAAGAGCGTGTTGGTTTTATACCTGATCCCCAGCACCCGGCAGCAGGCGGCACAGCTGCCCTGTCACCAGTGGCGGGGCTGCTCATAAGCACAGCCTCCTACCTTGTTCCTCTTGAGTACCACTTACTTGCACGAGAAGTTCCCTTGAAATTCTTCATGTGAGGAAGTAAATGCCACTCATCTTGATTAAGGTGCTCAGAGTGCCAGCAGGAGAGGCAAGACATTCATGGCTGGGTAGGGATAACGCTAACCGAACAGGGAGGTGTAGTGCTGGTTAGTTTGCTGGTTAGGTAAAGAAGGGATGTGTGTATGTAGACAAACCACGCTGCATGCGTACCACTCCCTAGGTTTCTGAGTTGCTTGCTCTTGTTTCCTCAAAATTCCGTACTTGTTACTGTACCGGGGAATAGGGCTGGGGAAAGGAGATGGACTGTGCCATCTAACATGCCCTTGCCAAAGCTGGCTGTAACACTTGGAAAGATCTTTCACAAGAACCATCTATGACCTGGATTCAAACCCCATGGAAGCCAGATCCTTCACCTACCCTTCATCCTGCCCCAGTTTATGCACGTCTAAAACTGGAGGGTGGACTGTTTGAAGAGTGATACAATTCTTCCCATTAACTTGAATAGGTTTTGGATCTAGTCTGATGAGATTTTAATGAACACTTTGTGAACTTTGTGACTGCCAAAGCTATGTTATGGGTCTCAAAGACAACTCCCCACTCAGTTTTCATTGCCATTTCAAGTTGACTGTCTCTTTGAGTAAGGTAGTACTCGCCACAAAAAGGGAGACCAGTATCCTGAAGCTTTCTAGAAGGCATCCTTTCTTTCTAAAGAAAGAAAACAGCAAAATTAAATTATAGTGCCACAATCTCAGCATAAAAAATTAGCAAAAAAAAAAAAATAAAAAGGGAATATCACTTAAATGAGGAACCATGGCTTGTAACTCTTACTGAATTTTTTCTTGATGTTTCAGAATCATCTACTAAAAATGCTGATGCGCAGCAGATATCTAATAATAACAACAGGTACTTAGATTTAATGTGAATATCGCTCTTTTAAAACAGGTGGTGCTTCTGTCATGGCAGCTTCTGGGTCTCTGAAAGTGCATAGAGGGCACAGTCTCCAAGCTGGTAAGTGTAAGTGTTTACGAGGTATGTGTGCCTGTAAATTTAAATTAATTTAAACATAAATTATTTTAAACTTCATAAAATGTTAAAGGTAATGTATGACTTGATTCCCTATTGTAAGGCTTACGTATTTCTTTGGGTTTTTTGCTTTGCAGAGTTTTTGTTAGAAAGGCATTGACAGATGGGATAAGTTTAGAAGAGATGGTGACAGATGAGATAAGTGTCAGAGCATAGGCAGTAATCTTATTCACAGCAGTAAAATGCTGCCAGCACTTTAACAAAGGGCACCCACCAAAAAAATCCACCTCGGGCCATGAGAAATCCTGTACCCTAGCAATGATGTGGTGGGAAAAAAACCCCACCACATCTAAAGATACTTCTTCATGATAACGGAGAGAGAAACAACACCAGCAGATAAAATTATGAGTGTTTGTCATTCCAAATTAATCCCAATATGTTCATTCTATGGGCATAGCTTTTTAGCTTTGCCTTGTTTGAACTGGGATGGAGTCTGAGATCATGAGAGAACCTGGGCATCTTAGTGCTCTGGAAGCACTGATGATGTTGTGCAACCCGGGTTCTTGCAAGGATGATGATTTGCACTTGGAAAGCAAAGTTATCTTTGAAAGGGCTAGTTTAAGCATTTTCTATAGCGCTTTGTCAGAAATCAAGAAGTTATCCATCAAGCTGGAGGTGGAATTTTAACAAGAGTCTTCCAGATGCTCCCAAGATCACCCACACACTTCTCCCTGATTCATGCATTCAACACAGCTTTGCTCCCACATCGATGTACAGCAAAACACGCTGTTGACTTCAGTGGCCTTCAGTGTGAATACTTGTAAAAATGTCCTAATGTTTATTTCCTTGGTGCTACACTCATTAGAAAATGCTGGCATCACCACTACAGAAAAGTCAACAGTAACCACCGTTTATACTTTCTGAGATTATTTAGTATGATTATTCCAATTAAAAGGCTGCAAGTCAAACCCAGAAGATCATATGCTTTCTTTTCATTGTGCAAATTCCTAAATTCAAAGCCATTGACAGTGTTCCTGCACTCTAGGTCCTAAAGGTGGTTATGAGATGCTAACACCTCCTGCAGAACCTGGAACTCCTACTAGCCCTGAGGAACCTGGTGAGTAAAGATCTCTGGAGCCAGTCGCATTAGAGGACATTAAAATCTCCTGTTTCTTTCCATTTCCTTTTTTGTTGTCATCTATTCTAAACATTTATTTTTGAGGTGGTGCCCTTGAACGTGTCAGTTTGATATGCTTGCTCACACACACACTTTTCTCGGGGCTGTGTTTATGGTGTTGGTTTTCTTTCTGCATTATTTATCTCATGTTTCTGAGAATAGTGCCTACACAGGGTAGAAAAAAACACTTGCTGAAAGAAAGGCTAAACCACCAGTTTCAAACATCATTTTCTTCTTCCCTCCCCAATTATACAATCTTTCCCTTTCTTTTCCACCTCAGTTCAGTGCCACTTTCTTTTCTCTTTTACTCTTCAGTTATTTGCTTAACTATCTTGTTTTTCTTCCTACCTTTCCCCCCTTTCTCTTCAAGCAATTGTGATTCTTTCGGAATGTTGTAACAGTGCATTTTGGTCTGTTTTTCTCCCAAATTGTCCCTCCATAATGATCTCAAATACTGGTTCTCTGACCCCTCTTGTATGCATCTTCTGCTGCTGTCCACCCAGGATGGACTGTTGTAGGCACTTTGTCCATGCCTCTCTGTGTATGCCTTGTTTTCTTAGTAGCAGCTTTTCACTGTCTTACGCTTTTCAAATAAACCTTTCTCTTCAAACAAATACAGGGCAGTTTTTAGTGTCTAATAGAAGGAAAAATGAAAAGCCAAGTATTTCTATGTTCACAAAGAAAGCACAGTTTCTGTTAAGACAGCACGGACTAAACAACGGAAGACTTTTCCTTTCCTTCCATTCCAGTTTGCCCAAATTTGTTCTTGGTTTGTTTCTTTCCTTTAAGTCAAGTTATAGCAAGAATATTTGATTGTTGCTAGGGGTTTCTTTGTTCAGTTTCTTTGCTTTTTGAGTGCAAAGCCCCACCAATTAATAGATGTGTGGGTTTTCCGTTCTTAGGAAAATCACCTGGCTTGTCCGCTCAGGTATGACATTCAGCTTCCTGAAACCTTTAACTATTTAGCTCTATAGAGAAGTTTGCTAGTTTCCATGCCAGCTAGCTTTGAGGACACTTCACTTAAACTCCTACTATATCACCTTAACGGTGTATAGAAAGACTTTAAAACTTATCTTTCCCTTCATGCCTATTCATGGCTCTGTATCAGTCCTTAAAATTGTCATTTGCTTACAACTTTAACTATTTGGCATGCAGGTTTTCGGTGCTATGGTTCTGCTGGATCCCTTTTGGCACAGTCAAAAAAAATTCCTTTGAAATGCTTTAGGCAGAATAATTGAGAATAATTTCTGAGAATGGTGTCTGATGGAGATACAGAAATTTCTTCTCTTTGATTTTTTTTTTTTTCCCCTTTTCATTTTGTTCCTAACACTTGGCTTTGGAACAATGGCTTGAAGTCTGACGGTCAAAAAAATGTTTGGTTGCTTCATTACTATGTTTTCTCTATGAAAATCTGTCAGAAATTTTCCAGGCTTTTAAAACTTTGGACTGCATAGTACACTCCTTTCATTTAAATAGCTTAAGCCTGAAGAAATTCCATTATCCTGGAACCTGCTGTAACCTCTGACAACTCTTACTTGTTGCCTATGTATGAGTTAGCTCTGCTATTCATAATACAGTCCAAGAAGAAAAATTCCCCTTAATGGTTATTACAACTGCTCTTGGTTGGGTATAAGGAGTCATTCCCTCCTGTGCTACAAAACCTTGATCACCTACTGCCTCTCTATTCACAACTCATTAGTGCCTGAATGGGCAGAAAAGAAAAGCAGTGATTTGGACAAATTAAGTTTTGATATGAGTAATGCCATTTTTCCTCTGCACTCCTCTGTCCCAAATTGCCTTAACAGCAGAAAGTGTTTAAGGGTAAGGACTTCAGCTGGACTGGATGGGCAGGTGGTTGTTACCCTGCTGAGCAGCCTTGCCTAAGCACGGAGAGAATACAGGTTTGTATTTGGGTCTCCTCTAGCCCAGGTAATTCTGGGAAGTCCCTTGGTATTCATGGATTGAAAAACTAGATGTAGGTGCCTGATGTCAGGAAGGGGTTGAAGGCTGAAATGCCTGCTTTGTCCGATGAAAGGAACTTCCTACCTTCTCTCTTAGTTTCACTTCTGACAAGATTAGAATAATTGAAAGTAGGGCTAGAAGAGGTCTTGAGAATTCATCCAGTAGACAGAAATGTTGCCTTTAAGTCAGAATCACTTTATAGAAAACTGTTTCCTAGTAGATGTTGGTCTATTTCTTTTTTTAGAAATTTCTAGATGCAGAAATTCTTCAGCCTCTGTGGGGTTTCCTCCAGTGTTCTGTGACCCTTTACTATCAGAAAGGTTTTCCCACTGTCCAATCTTCTACTTTTTCCTGCGATTGAAGTATTTTATTACTTGGTCTGTCCCCACTTGGCATCATTCCTGTCTTTTTTGGCTCCATACAGGGAAGCTGTCAACGTCGTTTCAAGCTTGCCTTCCCCTTGCTTGAAACAGTTCTTCAGTCCCTGTTTTCGGGACATACTTTCTGAACTTCTAGTGATTTTCGTTGCTCTCTTGTGGACAATATAATAGTCCACATTTTCCTAGAACAGACTGCTTCCTATAAGGCTTTACTAACCTGCGTTAGAGCTGAAAGCCTCCTGAGGTAGTGCCGCATACATTGCTTCTGCTTGAAAATTTCTGCCTGGTGTTTGTTTTCTGTCACAACACAGTGAGACCACTGGCTGCGGACTGTGATCTTCTGCACAGATCCTGGCTTGATCAGTCTCTGAGGATCTTTTCTGCAGAAACCTTAGTCTTCTCATGTCCTATCTATGACAGAAATGCGCTGTTTGGCAAGCTGAGTTGTTTGCTTTCAGAATATTTGATGGGACAGTGCCTTTTCATGAAACGCACCATTGGTCATTGCAAACAATGTCTACAATAACATGTTACTTGTTTTAGAAGGGGCAGTAGGTTATTCAGCTGATGTCCCTGCATCAGATCGACCCCACAGCGAGACAGCCACCTATGTTAATATTCCTGTCAGCCCGACTTCCAAAAAACAGCTTCATTACATGGAATTGGAACTTCAAGAACCTAGCACGAGCGTAAGAGGTAAGGAAGTCTACAGTGCCATTTAAACAGCAAAGGATGCAGTCACACAGAATGTGTGGGGCATGGGGAATCTCAGTTTCTCATCTACCCCTAGGCTCTTTGTAACAGAGGATTTGAACCCAGTTATGCTTGTGAGGCAGTTCTTGTAATTGCCAACTGTTTTGAAAAAGATTTTTAAGTAATGAGGTCTATAAGATCTTGCATCCTTCTGACAGGTGCATTGTATATGCACTCCTTCTCAAGTGAACATCTCTGCATCTGTGGAGTTTGACAGACAGTAATTTGCTTCGTGTTCTCAAGATTTTCATTGCACATATTAGGACTACACTTACTTAACTTTTCTTGCTTGGCTTCAGAAACAGGGCTGTGGGTGTAGGTGTACAGGGCTTGCTCCTGAAAGTACTGACTCTGGAGCCATGCAGCAAATGCTTAAGAATAGAAGACGGTGTTCTATCTGCTCTTCATGAGGATGTGTGAAAGTGCTACAGAGAGGAAGCCAGTTCAAGTATTTATTTTTTTTTAGTATTTTATTCTTTCATCTGGATCTGGGTATTTTACTTCTAATGCTTAACTAGGTCAATTAGCACATAAACATGTATTATAGCTACCGTGTATTGCCATTTAGAGATGCATTCCTCCTTACAGAAAGCCCCTAATCAGGATCTGGAATTTAGTTGCCCACATTTGGTGTTAATGAATTTTCCAAGTATAGTTTTCAGCTATTGAGATTTTAATTTTTATACTTTTAATTTCAGCAAGTTTATTAACTTTGAAATAGTAGCACTTTTCCCATTGGGGTTTTTTTTGATGTTTATGTGGCTGTAGTTAAGTAATTCTAAGCTTCTCCCAGACTTTAAAGTACTTCCCTATACAACACCCTGCTGAGATGTAAAAGTCATGTTTTATCTTCGTTTTAAAGACAGTGAGCCAAGGCATTAAGAATGAAAACCTGAATTCCATAAACTGACATCAACTTTCCTAAATGCCAACTACCCTTCCAACCTCAACTTGTATAACTTTGAAGGTGCCTTTAATGGCCACAAATATTTTATTTCTTCCTACTAAAGTTTTCCCAGCCTCTGGAGTTGTGTCTGCATCCATACAGACCTGTTCTGCTCCTGAACAAACTGAGCAGCTTTTACCTCCCTTATTGCTAATTCTTGGGCTAAATTGCCATTCTGTCTAAGGCTGAAGGAGGTTGATCTGGTAAATGTTCACAGAGTGCCTAATCCAGACAAAGAAGAATCCTGCCAACTGCCCTACCAATGGTGTTTTCTTTTCAAATACCACGAGTTCCTCATTTACTTACTAGTAGCCAGCTGATGAAGCCTGCCAGAAGTGGGAGAGCTGAGCTCAATTTTGTCTTCTACTGAGAGGAGTACGGGTGGAGATTCAAACCTGGGGCAGAAATACAAGTGGTTCATTTGCTTATTTGAAGAAAAACAGATAGCTAAAATATGTAGATAACAAAGCTTTTGAGTTTTTATTTTTTAGTTGTTGGTTATCATCTTACTCCCCTTTTAGAGCTTGCTTTAAGACCAGACCAAGATCATCTAGGAAATCTGTGGAAGACGTGTCTCAACAGCTTAACCCTGGGTCAGTTTTACCCAGGAACATATGAAAGAGACCATTTTTTAAATGATTTCATTTGGTATTTCAGGGAGTGGATCATCCCGATATGCACAAATTGACATTGCAGCCACCGAGACAGCCCACAAAGTGGGAACGCAGCATGCTCAGTGCCGGGAGGAACGCTTGCAGGAGCTAGAGCAGAAGAAGAAAGGGGCTCAGCAATGACCGTCTAGGAAAGAACGTTTTGCTCACCATAAATCGGTACTAATTTATCTTCCAAAAGATTCACACTTATTGTAAAAATTACTCATGCAAAAATCTGCCATTGCTTATTGCATTTATACCAGATTCATTCCGATGTCTTGATTCCTAATTGGAAAGCTGGTAGCATGAGGGGTGTGTGAGATCTTTCTTTTTATTTTAACTTTGTTGTGAAGTCCTTATTTTTTGTCGTATGCAATGACAGATGCAAGTTACCTTTTTCTGTAATTCTAAAATCCTGGAGAACCTGGAACCAATTCCAGTGTTTATTAAATGGTGGCATTTTCTTTAAAAATTACGAACTTGAATGTGTGCAGATAAGGGAATGCGAGTGTGTGCGTGGTAAGTGTACACATATGTTTGCATATGTATGTATGTAAGCACACCTTACTGATAAAATATATGTATATATCTGAGTGTATAAAATATGTAAAACCTCTATTAATATATTACTGGACTCTTACAAAAACAAGAAAATCCAGTGCCTGATTTTTTGCAGGCACAGTTTTGTTCAGTGTATATGCTTATTTATGGATATGCTTACCTTTACCTATGGGTAATTCAGTTTTATACGTTACTAAGAGTTCCATAGCGTTGGCTAAAGCTGCTCAGATTTAAAAGCTGCCGTGTCAGGGATGCATATGTGTAGGCATACAGACAAGAGCACACACAAACAAGTTATTTAATTTAATTATGTCTATAAAGCAATGTGAAGGGACATTTTGGGTGCTTCTGTTCTTAAAAACCCTGCGTCAAACCATAGGCTTTGATTTCATAGTTACTGAGTACCTGTAATTCTTAGCAATTTTCCTGGAGTTGAACATATGTATCACTTTGAAAATCAGGTCTCAGGTTTCTTAAACAGAATAGCTTAAAATCAAGGTACTCAAAAGAAACATTCACTTTCGAAAATGGAGTCCTTTGTTTATATCTCCAAAACTATCCCTAGTATAAGCCAGTACCAAAAGCGGATCATCCACCTTGAATCTAAAACTTGCATTGAATAATTCTCTGCTGTCCCTAAATAGCATAAAACCAGTTCTGTGTAAGAGGATGATGTCTTCAGCAATGCTACAGAATGGAGGCACAACAGGATGTTATGTCGTAATGCAGGTTTACCCACAAGTCTTTGACATCTTGCTTTTGTACAGTGAGATTGTGATTCAAACCTGACAGTTTCTTGTGTCACGTTCTCTATGTAATTCTTGTGTTCTATGTATTTGTCCGGATACAAAATGCTATTTAAATAAAATGTTATGGCAGTGACACTAGACTAATAAGGCAGTGTACTTACAAAGAAAACAAAATTTTGGCCTGCGATAACTTATGAGCTTTGGCTTCCAGAAGTTACCGGGAGTGGTACCTTGGGTATTATGAATTTTTGACTGTGTCCTCTTAAGATACAATATCACAGCCCAGTTCTGTTTTTCAGATATGCATTGTAATTTATATGGTGAGTGGAAGTTTTGTGCCAGTGAGGGTTTCACTAAGTGACTTAAAAGGAGAGGTGAGTGTTTGGTTTTGAGGCAGAATTTAACCTATAAATTTGAATGTAGCCTCAATAATAATGTAAAATACCAGAAATCTCTCAAATAAATAAAAATGTGTTTGAGAGTTGACAATTGCCATTGTCATCTGTCCTGTGCTAAGACGTACTTTTCTGTTTATCAGCCTAGCATATTTCTGAAGGGAAAAGAAATATTTCTTATGAGATTGCGAGTTTAAAAGATTTTTCTTATTTGACAAGTGGACAATGGTGATCTCCTTTGTAAACACCTATTCAGTACAACTGGGATGGCTTGGACTTACAGCTCCTTGGGACCAGGTTTATGTAACTGAACTGCTATTCAATTAAGGATCCTCCACTGGAGGACTTGCAGGACTAAATCTCTTGCTATGTGCCTATTTATTTTTAATATTTAAAATGAGCGTAGCTTGCCTGATGCACTGAAATGCAGTGTTTTCCATCATAATATACAATGAAGCTGCAATATTTCTATTGTAAAAATCTATTTAGTGGGAAAATATATTACCCAGGTTCTCTACAAAGGCTGCCTTTCTGTATGTTGCTCAAAACTGCTTGCATTGGATCCTGGACTTGCAGCGTGGGTGAGGATTTGACGCAATGTAAAGGTCATCAGATTGCTGCTGGCCTTACAGGAGGAGCCACAATTTTAAAAATATGTTTTTCAGGTTGAGCAGTGCTGTGAATCTGTGCGTGCACACGGTTCTACGTGCACGTGTATTTGTGTGTGTCATAGTACCTTCTGCTAGGATTAGCTAGATGGCTGGATTTGTACTTGTAGCCTTTGCTAATGTCAACATAATTATCTTGTAAGGCTTTCCACAGATGAAGTATTTTACTTTTTAGGCTCCTGTTACTCTTCTTTTTTTTTTCTTTTTTTTTTTTTTTACTTCACTTGAATAGGACAAATAGAATAGATGACTTTCACTTATTTTATAAATTCACTTCATATTCTCAAGCACTAAGTTACGTTTAGGATGCTGAAGCAGGAGGCCAAGCCTTATTGTTGCATCTGTTAAAAACTGGTTGGTTGTTGGTTTGGCAGTACCTTGCAGGCCTCCCCGTCAAGTTATAGGCTTGACGTTTCTGTTGAAGAAACTAGAGTTCTCTTATTTGAACAACAGGAGCTTACAGAAATGGAAAACATTTTTCCTAAATAAATAAAATAATGTGCCTTCCACTTTCAGTAACCAGCTGGGGAAAATGGAAGTCAAACCGTAACCCTACGAGCAGGCCCGTGCTCACCCTGCAGCTTCCATGGGTTAACTCTAGTACTGCTGTTAACGTGCATGTAGTTAGGGGTTTATTCACAGGCCTTGCATGAAACTAGCTCCTAAGTCATCTAAAACACAGCTTGTGATTGCTATAGGATGATTCCAGATTCAGAGCTCTTTGCAAAAAACCCAAAATATCTCCCATGCTTTTGGAGATAAATGTGACTCGTAACTTCTCCTGGTGAAAACGAAGGCTTTGCTCATTTTGAAGTCAGCATTCTACCAGAATCAGATCTCTTCCTGCCCTTACCAGGAATTAAGTATCAGAAGAACAAAACAAAGTCATGTGGCTGATACTTCTGTAAAATGTTCTGAAGTAGTTGAACGTGCCAGAAGTGCCATCAGTGATGAGAAAACCTACTGTCAGAGAGCGCAGCGTTTGAGCATAACCGTTAGCGTGTTGTGTATGTACCCCTCTCTTCCCGATAGTCCTTACTGCCAACGGTAACCACTACTTCAGTGGGTTTTATGGCATTGTTCGTAAGCTGTGATGGAAGATTTTTATAGGCAAGTATTTGGGTGATGGAATTTCTCCAAGGTAAAATGTGCTGTGGGATGGAGGGCTGGAGTTTGGAGGCATTTAATTGCCCAACAACACAAATAGTTGTCTGGGTTTTAACAGCACTCTGGCACCTAATTGCGGAAAATGCCAGTAGGTGTCTTTAGGCATCTAAATGTGTGTGAGAATATGCCCCAAGAGTTGTTTCTAGCAAATAGCTTGGAAAAATTCCTCACTTTCCTCTCTGCTGTAAACAAAACAGTTTTAATTACTGCAGCTTGGAAAACTATACACAAATTTGAATTATGAGTGATTATGGTTTTTTATGAGATGCTGAAGCACAGACCCTTTGGTCAGCACTTTTTCTAGTTTGTCTGGGGTAACACACATACCATTGCTAAAATGACCACAGGAAGAAGGCACATAATTTTATGGGTTACCAGCTGCTCATTTCTGTTAAAATTATGCATTTTTTTCTGATGAAAGTGCTGTTACATTTTTATGTCACCCTTTATCTGGGAAGATGCTCAGCTCTTATTCGGCCAGTCATGCAAACGTGATTTTACAATCTAGGTTGAAAGGAAATGTTCAGGGAACATCACGCAGCAATAAGAACAAACAAAACAGAGTAAGGAGGGAAGAATTAGAAGTTGTTAAGTGGATATTTGTAAGGAGTAGCTCTGTAAACATGTGTCTCTTCAACACAGGTGAGTAGAATTAAGGAAAAGTGCCTTTTTTTTTTTTTTTTTTAAATTTGGATGGGTTCTGATGAACTTGGTTTTATACTTTCTCTGAAAGATGATGGGCTTCAGGGTAGGCTCACCCCAAGGCTTAGGACAGTGATGATGAGGTGGTTACAGATTAAACCCAGCTCCTCTGTAGGCTTTTCTTTGAAGGCTGGAACATAAGTGACAGGAAAATGTGTGCAATTCACATCCTGGATTCTGGTACAATAAACAGCTTTATAGGGCAGTAGACACATTTAGGGAAGTGCAGCTGCCAAGTAAACTGTGAGTTTAGTAAAAACTTTAGGGTAAGTGAAAGTTAACTTTAAAACTTACTTGCTTTCAAACATTTGTCTGCATCAGAGCATCTAGAAATAATTCACATTTATTATCCCACTGTGTACACAGAGGCGTATGTAACATCACCATTTTACCGAAATAATAAGCATCAACTTATTTGAGGAATGTGCAGTGGGGGGGTGGGATCAGAAAGCAGATTTAGCATGACAGTAATTTGTCTCTACATTACATTATACTGTTGTGAAATCCCTAAAAAAAAAAAAAAGAAGCCCTAGCATCTGCTATTGTATAAGTTAAATTTTACTCATCTGTGGGCTGAGCTGGCAATTTATGGATAGTTCACATACAGAAAACAGAGCAGATTGCACACTCGGAAGGGAATCTGGCCTTTGGATACCGAAGTTCTATTATGTAATGAATTGCTCAGATTGATCACACATCGGTGTCTCCGCCTGCTACAGCTGGAAGATGCACCCTGCGCCCCGCCGCCTGCCTTTGGCCGTGGCCACGCTCTTCGTCCTTTTGCTGCCAACAGCCAGCAGTACTGGGCACAAATTGGGAAGCACGGGAAAAATTCATATTGGGCGTTTGATGGAGAAGTAGGTAGGTGTCAGCAGAGAGCTGGGAAGCGACTGTTGTCC